CTCCCTGAATCAAAACCAGTCTTTATGTAAATATTAAAAGGGTTTACACCAACCGATTCCGTGTCTCCTGAAACCAAATGATGTATGAAACAATGAGTAACTAAGGTACAGGGGAAAAAGTAAGCAAACCCCTAGTTTTATGAGCTCAACTAAGGAAATACATTAGAATCAGGTGTCTGTATTATTTAACCTGGGGCTGTGTTTGGAAGGTCTCACTCTATATTAAGATCAGAAATATTGTAATCTTCAACATACAGGTGTGTTAAAACAAGTCTTGGCACAATCTAAGGAAATCTCTGACGACCTAAGAAAAAGAGATGAGATGCTCATCAATCCGTAAAAGGGTTACAAAACTACTTCTAGTTTGTGTGCCACCAATCCACTGTCAGATTGTATACTAATGAAAAAAGTACAAGACCACAGTCACTCTACCCAGGAGCAGTCATCCTACCAAAATCTCTGTCAGAACAAACCAGAAATCATCAAGGAAGTTATAAAGAACCTCAGAGTAAAACCCAAGGAACTTCAGGGTGACTGTGCCTGACTCAACTATCAGAAAATAACTGAACAAGAATTGTGTTCATGGAAGGACACCAAGAGAGAAAACAACTGATCTACAAAAAGAACATTGTTGCCCACAGGGCTTCTGGAACAATATTCTCTGGACAGATGAGTCAAAGGTAGAACTCTTTTGAACACTGGTAGGCCTCAATGAGAAACTATTTGGGGAAAAAAAAAAAATACTGCTTTAAAACAGAAAAACCATCTTAATCGTCAAGCATGGTTTTGGGACTGTGAAGGTTCCTGGCTAGTTTGCTGCCTCAGGATCTGCCACATTGATAGAACCATGAATTCTGTATTGTAGGAGAAGATTCTAGAGAATCTTATACAGTGCCGTGAAAAAGTATTTGCTTCCTTTCTGATTTCCTCTATTATTGCAAATGTTTGACTGAATGTTTTCAGGTCTTCAACCAAGATCTAATATTAGATGAAGGGAACCCGAGTGAACAAATAACACATTTTGTTTTTACTTATTTCACTTAATGAACAAAGTTATCCAACACCAGCTGGCACTGTGTGAAAAAGCAATGTCTGTGACCTGAATCTGGACCGAAAGTAGGTCTTGCAGCAAGACAACAATCTTAAACTTAAAATAAGTTTTACAAAAGAATGGCTTCAGAAGAAGAAACTGTATGTTTGGCATAGATCAAGTCCAGACCTAAATCCCACCGTTACAGAATCAACGGTTACAGGAAATGTTTAGTTGCAGTCATTACTGCTTAAGGAGCTGCCACCAGTTACTGAATTTAATAGTTCACAAACTTTGTCAGACATGGATATTGAATGCTGCATCATTTGAGGATAAAGAAATATTGAAAAAGTATAATGTAATTTGTTGAATCCAGTTATCATTACCTATTATTATGGCTTAAATTAAGACTTTAAAACCACATTTAAGACTGTATTTGAAATCTTAGGACCATACTTGTTACGACATTCTAGGTTTCAAATATGAAATATGTAAAAATCCTAAGGGGTTTAAAAACTTTTTCTTGGCACCTATCAAATGCACAGCCACTACAATTAATGATTGTTATCTCACACCAGGCTTCTTCCCAGGTCAGACAAGCTGGACTAACTCTGTGGCTAGGAAAATGGCCTTGCATTATCTCAAAGCAGCATCTGATTTTGCTGTAGACAAGCTATTCACTTTGAACCTCATGGGGTATATGTTTCACTGATTGACAGTTACATTGCACCTTTCACCTACAGTAAAAGACCGCTGCAAATGTCATTGGCTACATGAAGGTCCTACTGAAATTCAAATGTACACATAACAAGCTTAAAAAAAAAATTTCATTTACAAGGTATTGTAATAGCTACAATACAAAAAATGGTAAACACCAGGAAAAATAAAAGAAAAACAGTTAAACCAATAGAAAAATTAAATACATTAAATCTTTAGTGAGAAAAGCCTTAAGATCACTTTGAGTGAGGTTTGCAAATGCCAACAGCCACAGACTCTCTAATTAATATGGGGCAGTGAGTTCTACAGATGTGATTCTGTACATGAGAAGTCACCAACTGTGATGAGAGTGGTCTTCAGGAGAGGAAAAAAGGGCTGAATTATCACATCTTAAATTAGGAAATGAACTATATTAATGCAATAAGTCAAGCAGAATTTGTATTTTCCCCAAACACAAAAAATGCAACACAAAGACAAAAATAACTACATCCCAGTGGTATTCTAGATTTCCATTCAAAGACCCGAAAGTGCAGTCAAACAGCTACAATGGAAATGCCACACAACATGGCCCCGAATGCAACAGGAGCAGCACTCCAAGCCTCTGTTGTCCTTCCACAGGTACTATGGATCAAAACTCCATATGATATAAATCGTATCAAGACAGGTCAGGATCCAGCAATGTCATGAGAGGGAACATGGAGGATTCCAAGTGTTATCAACTGTTTCTGGATTCTAACGTGTCCACATAATCATGTATTTTGAAATGTGATGCAAATATGAATTCCGTCTTTTTTATTATTAATGTACAAACTACAGGATATTGTTAATACTAAATTCACATATTCAATACAAGATATTGTTATTGACTTTTAAGGCTTTAAAAGGCTCCACCATACATTTCTGAACTCCTAGTAGTAGGTTATGTTCAGTTAGTCCTTTGTTCACTGTACCAGGACTAAACCTCAGATTTTTGGCGAGTGTGCTTTTTCTCCTTTGTTATGGAATGTTCTTCCCTTTGACTCTACTTCATACAAATTAGTGTACTCTCGTCAAATGTAAATTCAAAACGCACCTTTTTACTAGGACCTGTGTCTGACTGCCCTACAGTTTATCTTGTACGTTCTTGTTAAACTTTTTCTTTTATATTTTATTGTGTTTTTCTTTCAACACTGTGTACAGTATCTGTAGGTTTGCAATGGTGCTTTAAAAATGAAAAATATCTTAACATTAAAGATTGGGTTTTAAATTACAAACACAAATATGTAATTCAGGTGGGAAGCTGCATCAGCATGCGTAGGCTGCAAAGGAACACGTAATAGGTTTATTTCATGCTAAAAAGAGAAGAAAGTATGAATTGGCTACATAACTCTATTCTCCTCCCCACTGATAGCTGATGTGTGGTGAGCGTTCTGGCGCACTATGGCTGCCGTCGCATCATCCAGGTGGATGCTGCACATTGGTGGTGGTGGAGGGGAGTCCCAATTACTGGTATAGTACTTAGAGTGGAGTATCCAGAAAAGCGCTATATAAGTGCATTATATAACTATATATAGCACTATATAAGCAATTATTATTATTATTTTAAAAAAAAGAACGTTTCGGCTATGGAGCCTTCTTACACTGCTTACACCTGGAGAAGGCTCCATAGCCGAAATGTTGTGATTTCTTTCTTCTCTTTTCAGCATGGAATAAACCTATGACGTGTTCCTTCACAAATATGTAATGTCCAAAATATGTTTACTTCATGCTTTCTTCTTATTCAGAAACATCACACAGACTCTAAGTGTGCTTTTAATTCTTTGTTGTTTGATTAAAAAATGCAAGGAAGGAACCGGTCCTTATTGTAGTCCATTTTGAGTTCTGTTGAATTTTTATACAGAGAAAGACAACCAAACACCATGTAGCAGGCAGCGCATGTTTTCCTCTCCTAGTCACGTACTGTCTACAAAAGCTACAACAAGTACACACACTCACTCATATATACTGGATCTTGACATTGGTAAATACCACTTTATTTCACAAGCAACTTGAAAAATACACACACTAGAGAAAATAAGTATTTAAATTAATGTTCCTCAGTCAAACGCTACATTTCTTTGCAAGAAAATGTGATAAATACCCTGGAGAACAAGAAAATGAATCATTTAAAAATGTGTCATTAGTCACATTGAGACTTCAACAAGGAAATGTTAAAGTAAATTGAGGCATTCTGACACTTAATTTAATTAATTGAATTGGAATATCCTTTGAAACTTGATTGTCTTTTCATTCCACTAGATATTTTACACAAAAGGATACACAAGTTACAAAATTTGAATCTTCATTTCCTTTATCAATTTGACATTTGCAGTTGTTCATGCATTTTTAAAAGGCATGTTAAATGAGGAAAATGGTAGAATATACCAGACGCTCAGCACCATACTAAAAGAAAGCAGTAAAATATGGAAATAGAAAACATTACGAAAAAAAATCACACATTTGCAAAATCTATACTAGAAAACACAAAAATGAATCCTACTCAAAAGACCTCTCCCTAGTAAATCATTTGGGAGTATTAAAAGTCAACTGTCAAACTTACCCCTCACTTTTTTGGTATTTCCTCAGTATATTTGCAAAGAGAAAAAAGAACAGCTCTACTTGAATCATATGGATTATTCGTAAATACAGAAAAACTCCAGATGTCTGTTGAAACTCATTTAAGGATATAAACACTGTGTTCATGAGTGTCACCTCCAAACCAAGCAATTCCTTCTTTACTCAGATGTTTCATGACAGCACAAAAACAATGGATGGACTCAAACCCTTTTTGCAAATAAAGAAATGCCCCAACAAATGTCAACCTCCATCCAAACTTGTCTTCATCTCATAAAAAAGACATTTGCAAACAAATGGGGAGAATGGGATGTATTTGATGACAAATTTTTTCTGGAGGCAAGTCCATTTTCCCCATAAGTATTCTCCTTGTTTTTTATCTGGATGGATTAGATTTCACTGAAAGGTTGTAATTGCTTATGCTCTCAATTGCTGACATCTGGAATTAGACTATAATTCCAGATTATAAAAAGCATGTAGGGTTTTCCACTCAAATCCATTAATATGGAAATCTTTTCAGTAGTTTAATGTAGTTATTATATAAATATATATATAATCTGGTTTATGCAGAGCCAGACTTTATTTTGTGCTATTGTTAATAAAATTGTAACTCTTGGCTAAAATCTTAATGGAAACTATTCTTTAGTAAGGCAACACTCACCTTTGCTTCTGTTGTACTTCTGTAGCGGATCAATACCTCTTTCTTGATCGTCTGATTGCAGTGGATGTCTGGTTTCAAAGTTGGGGTGCTGCATCTCTATATACTACTATGACCTGCAAAGGCAAATAATAGCAATTTATTTTTCCAAATATTTGATATTTTTCAGCTCATGTAAATATTCCATTAATAATGACTTTTGGTTTCAACTACTACTTTTTTTCACTAGTTTTTTTTTCAGAACAATTTTAAGTTTTTCTGCTAATACAACTCAACAACTTTTGAGTTCCTATCTTCAAATAAAAGCAGTATCATTACAGGCACTGGCTACTTCAGAGGAGCAACCTGTCAAGGAGCTAGGCACCACTGGTTGGTAGTGGGAAGGAAGTAATATTCCTGCAGAAGACTTAAGTATCTGTTTATGAAAGCATAAGCCTGAAACATGTGTATCCATGATTACTTTGATATTTTTTTTGGCAACTTAAACATTATCACCGAGCACACGAACAAAAACAGACACAATCTGAACAGTTAATTAAGAACACATTAGACTGGGATCCCTTTCATAATCATTTCAGCCTTGTGCAGCAAAAATCTGCATGTGACTTTCCGATATTTGAAGCTTACAGGGGCATTATACTAATATTCCAGACGCAAAGCTTGCTTTATTGAATAATACAGGTTGACACATTTGGTTCCATAGCTATTTTTCAAACCCATTATTTTACATTTGAAGTTACAAATTACAGTTGTGACACCAAGCTGGTATCTCCTTGGCCATGTGGCCTGAACTAATGCCAAATTCTGCTTTACTAATTTTACAAATTACCTAAGCAATGTCGCCACTTTTCATTGGTCTGCAAACTGAGATGTCACAACATGTTAATGAGAGCTAAGTAATGAATGTGAACCTTCCTAATTGCTTAATCTCTCATTGTAGCTATTGAAAGGCATCTTCATCCATGTGTGCAATCG